TAGAATCTATTTTCTCATACTTGATTTATTTAGAACAAGCCTTCATTAGTATTAGATTTTATTTTTGCATTCATTCATTAGTTTAAAATAAAAAAAACTCCAGTCGAATTTGCATTAGTCTAGATAATATTTAATCGTCGATATTTTGGTACTTAATTGGTTTAAACAACAGTCTCTGTGGAATACGACCTTGCTCGCCGCTTTCTGCAGCTACTCCGTACACTTGCGGGTAGTGAAAATATTTTGCGAACATGTACCTATCACGAAGCCCTTGGTTTAAAATATTAATATCCCATCGTCGAACCCAATTCAGATGTCAATCGTCAGCCGCTCGACCAATCGAAAGCCATTGTTCCCTTGCTACTTTGAAAATGGCCCACTCAAAGGTAGTGAAACCCCAACAAGAAGAACAAGAAGAAGGGCCCCCACTCAAAATTGTGTACATGACAAACCCCCTTCAAGTTCATATTGACCATTGCCTCTGAATTCTCGGCCCTCGTTCAAGATCTCACTGGTCAAGACTCCGACTTATCGGGTTCCGCTGGGCTCTTGAGGAGTTGAGGTTGTTCAGGAGCTCACTGGTCAAGACTCCGACCTATCTAACTAACAAATTATTCTTTTTTTTCAAACGATAGAGAATCTCCATAAAACTGAAAGAAAAGCAAATACAGAGTACTGATACAAATCATTTCCCAAACTACCCAAAGGGCACCACCCCACTCTACAAACTACCAAATTAGCACTGAAAATAAAACTACCGAGGGCCTAAGCCAGAGAGTACCACTCCAACACTTGAGTGGCCTAGAATCACGATCCAAAATAAAAGCTTACTAGTGCAGTAGGAATGCACTGAAACCACTAGCAAACCAATAACTGAAAACAATCCAAAAACAAAGAAACCAATCCCTAGCTAAAACAAGAAACTGAACTGTTAAAAAACAGACCTAACTTGTGTTAGCAAAGGATCTTTTTGACCTGGCTAGCTGATCAATAAAATAGGCTAGAAATTTGTTTGTTTTTAATACTATGGGTCCTTTTATTGTGCATAGTATATATTATATTACACTTTTATAATATTTTCATCTTATTAACATGTTTAGTTTCAATAAATGAACCCTTCAAATAAGCCAGGCTATTAAGTTTCAAAGTTGGACTTATAATTTGGCCAATGTACAAAAATTCATCCTGTCATTAACCACTTATAAATTGGGTCCAATAGTTTGACAATTTAATTGATTCTTGTCCTCTTTTATCTGCAGCCTGGATAAAAAAACGTGATGTGGCATGTATTTTATTGACATGGCGTGATTGTGGTTTATGTGGCAGGACTAAATGTTAACATGACGTGTATTTTATCTTAGTTGGAATTAACAAAAACTTTCTAAATTGCAAAATATTCATATAGGGATGTATTCAATTGGTTTATTTGAGATTTGTTAAGATTTCAAGATTTTAGAAAAAAAAAATTATGTGAAATCGTTAGTCTAAAGGTGGTATTTGAAGTGTGATTTCGTATAAGATTTTTTTTTTTTTTTTTT